TGGGGGATGAAGGAATTGAGAGTAGCTGAGAAGGAAAAGGAATTGAGGGTGCTAGTGGCTGAGAGGCTGCACATGAACTGACAACATTCATTTGCAGTTCAGAAAGCCGAACATATCCCAGGCTGCATCAAAGGCAGTGTGGCCAGCAAGCTGAGGGGGTGACTTTTCCCCTCTGCTCCACTCCATTGAGATCCCACCTGGAACACTGAAACCACTCTGGGGTCTGCAGCACAGGAAGGAACTAGTCCTGTTGGAGTGGGTCCAGAAAAGGGGCACAAAAATGAATTGGAAGGATGAAATACCTCTCCTGTGAGGAAAGGGTGAGAGCTGGGACTGTTCAGCCTGGAGGAGAGAAGGCTCTAAGACCTTATTGTGGCCTTCCAGTAGTTACAGGTGGAATACAAGAAAGATGGGGACAGACTTTTTAGTAAGACCTGTTACTAAAGGACAAGAGATAATGCTTTTAAATTAAAAGACAGTAAATTTAGAATAGATATAAGGAAGAATTTTTTATGATGAAGGATGTGAAACATAAAACACAGGTTACCCACAGAGGTGGTAGATGCCCTGTTCCTGGAAACATTCAAGGTCAGGTTGGATGCAGTTCTGAGCATCTATTCTAGCTGGTGTCCATGCTCATTGCAAGGGTGTGGATAATATGACCTTTTAAGGACCATTCCAACACAAACTATTCTATGACTCTATGTTGCAAGTGTTCTTTACAGTTTGAGAGCCATCTAATGGTACATGATTGCTCAGGACACACTGGTGAGCTTTGCAGCAGTGAGAACAAGTTTCTGCTTCAGACTTCTGTGGCTCTTTGTACATTGGATGCCTCTGAAGCATACCTGGAACTCCAGCATTCTGAAGCTGCACTCCCCTGTACCAGGGCAAGAAACCTGCAAGAGTTGAGAGTGTTCTTCCTTGGGCATCTGCCTGGAAAACAGTCTTCAAGAGATCAGGTGGCTGCTGCATGATATTCCAGGAAATGTTGTTCCCCTTTTGAAACATCTTCTCTACCACAGGAATCACATTAGCAATATTGAGATGCTTGTCTTTTCCTTAAAAACCAAGCTTTCCCAGAACAAAGACAACAAAATAAAAGTACTAAAAGCTAAGAATACCCAAACCCAAAACCCACCACCACTAAGGAATTATTAACCTATTAGCTCTGTCTGTGGTACATAAATAAAAATGAGGGATTTTATTAACACTGTCTATGCTATATGAAAGGTTCTCAAGGAGCAGTGTATTTTTTGCACATGGAAATCCACTGAAAGTACTGGATTTTTCCATTTTCATGTAAATCAAAAATGTCTTTGTGTTGTGTTACTTCATACAATCAAAATCCTAGAAATGCTGTATCTGAAAGATTAATAAACGTGATACCTTGCAGAATTAAAAATATTTAATAGTTATTTTATTGGGTTTTTTTATTTTGATAATATTTATAAATAAAAAAATGTGATTATTTTTTAACTGTGACTAAAAAATTAGTGTTATGGTATTGAAAGTCTAGGGATTGAGGGCTTCTCAAAATTTCTACTATGCACAAGGTACCAACACCCAGCAACATAACTGTGTCACAGCAAAAGCAAAATTGAATGACTACTGCAAGTGCAGAGCTTCTGGCAGGAGAATTACACAGCAGAGGGAGCAATTGCCCCTCATCACAGAAGCAACTGAGTCACTTTTATTCCTTACAGCATTAGCATTGCTGTAGCTGCAAATTATTCTAAGATGAGTTTGTACACCAATGTAGTAGCTCTTATTAGATGAAACATGAAAACTGAAAAAAAATTACAAACTAATCCTGCAAGATCAAAAATCCTCTGAGTACAGCTGAATACAAGAACTCTGCATTGACTTTGATAGGCATTGGTAAAACATCCAAGAGAAAACGCAGCTGGTCTCTCTCTGTTCAGGAAAAGAGAGAGATAATTGCTAGTGTGAAATAGTGAGAGTTTGTGAAAAGGAAAATTATCATTCATTATAATAACTATGCTGAGTCTACAGTTGATAGTGACAGTTTTGTATTCTAAGATATAGAAGGTGTTTTGAGAACAAAAGATGTGAGATCAGGGGTAAAACAACTGTGTATGTGTTTATTCTTCCCTAGTTTTCTGTGGGAGTTTATTCTGATATGTAGTCATTTCTTCGTTTGACCTACAAAGCTTCCAGGACACCATTTGGTGCAAAGGCTGAACAAGGTTACATTCCAGGCAGGGAGAATGTAGCAGCGAGAGACATGGGAGATTGATCTGGAATGTATTATTCCTATTAAGAAACAGGAAGACACTCCAATTCAGAATGCATCTAGAAAATGTGCTGCAGGGTTCACAGCATTGTGTTTACAGAACTCACAGAGAAGATGTGTCCCATGCCTTACACAATTAGGGTCACTGCAATGCAAGACATTGTAGCTCACACTGTTCACACATGAATACGGCAAAACCAGCAATAAGATGAGAGCAGGTGGACACATTCAGTGATTTGTATTAATATCTAACAGCAGTACTTGCTCTCATTCCATTCTTTAAATCTTTACCTGTCTAAAAGAGACAAAATACAGCAAATTTCTATTTGCAGTCTTCTGCCTACCAGGCTAGTCCTAGTTGGACCAATTGCTAGTCTTAGCTATCTTTTCTTCTGCACCCTTTAATTCCTACTAATACAATAAAAATTTAACATTTCAGCCTTCCCTTTGCTATTCAGTCAAATCAGTTACAGGGTCTAAGACTGAGAAACGGATCTTTCCTCAGCATGGGTTCCCAAGAAGAGCAACTCAGTCATCAGTGAAAAAAATAACTCATCAATTTATTAAAACTGATTGATTAAAAAAAATGTTAGTTATTTTCAATAAACCAAGGCATCTTAATATACAATAAACTGCCAGAAGTCAAGAATGATAATATATAAGAACCAGTTTTATCATAACCACACCACTGGAAGGTAAGTTCCCCCCTTTCCAAGGACCAGTGAACTGACACCACCAACTTCCTCCAAAGGTCCACTTCTCAGGATAGAGAGCATCAATGTCCTGGACAAAATCCGTGCAAGTGCCTCCAAGTTGGCTGCTACCTGTATCTGCCCTGCAGCTGACTACACTCTCACTGAGGGTATCCCATCACATACAGCAAGGGTACTAACCACCAAGAAGTAGAAGTTACTTTACTTGTTTAGCACAGAGACCAGCAGGAATCACCACAAAAAGTACAAATGGGTGTCTACCCAGCACTGTGACCCAAATGACCAGAAACTCCACAAGAAGCTAGTGAGGATCTGGCCCTCTGTAACAGTTGGTTTTAGGCCAAGAAAAAGCTGAACATCCATAGGGATGGCTGTGAATTGGCCAGTCTTCACCTACAAACAGAGAAAGCTGCTGCCATTCATCCCACAAGTGTTCTTGGAATTTGCTTGCTACAGCTTTAAAAAAGGTCAGATAGAAGGTGCTCAAAAAAGAGCTATGCTGTGATCACTCTGGCTATTTTAACTGGGCAGCCAGCTCTGCCTTGTGACAGACAGCTGGGAAATGCAGCTACTGAGAGACTGAATTGTATCCGCATTTAAGCACTCGTGTTTCGTGCGAGCACATAAATTGTACAGCAGGAATTTAGGGGATGGAGCAGCTGCATTATGAGGAGAGATTTCTCTCCTTAATTTGAAGACATGCAGACTGAGGGGGATACAGCTGAGAACTGCAAAACCATGAAGGTAGTTGAAAAAGTGAGAGCAGATTGTTAGTCACCAAACCTTGTAATACTACAAGTATGGGCACTCACTCAAACTGCATGCAAGGCAGGTTTCAAACAAGCAAGCAAAAAAATTATTTTGCAAACACAACTGTAGTGAAATTTTGGTGATGTGGGACTAGGAGGCCAACAATATCAGCAGGCTAGACAAAAAAAGCAGGCTACAAAAAGATACATTTTTTATGGACAGTCATTCCAAACTAGGTAAGGGAACGGCCACTGGTGTACCTGCCAGAGGTTTTAATCCAATGACTGTGGATGTGGATGTTGAGGAAGAATGAGGGGAATGCACAAATGAACGGCCAGGATCATGTCCTAGGTCTGTGTAGCATTGCCTGCTGTCCAAGGCAAAGATACCTGTCTAGGTGGGCCTTTGGTTTGACAAAATAAGGTATTTCTTACACTTCTATGCATGAAGCCATGACTGGAGAAAGTCATTGCCACTTGAGGCCTAAGAACCCAGACTCACTGCAGGAGAGGCAGCTGGCGTGGCTTCCCCTGAAATCTCTGTCAGACCACACATACTTTAAAAACCTGTGCAGAAATTACAATGCAATAGGCATACATATTGAAGAACTGCTTCTACCCCAAAGAGCATTGAAGCTAAATTCAGAATTGTTTCTGTTATATCCTGGTAGCTATAACTACTGAAGTTTTGCAAAAATTCCCTTGTTGTTTTTCCTTACATGCAGCTCCTGACCATAATACTCCCTGCTTCAGAGGAACTCAGTGATGGCACTAGGCTTTGTTCCCGTTACAGTATGAATTTCTCACCAAAACTTCCAACCAAACAAGTAAGCTCAATTTACAGCTTCATAAAGGTGGTATCTAATAATGGCATGCCCATCCCACTCTCACAATATGAGAGCAGAGACTTTTAAAGAAAAAATCTGCCACTTGCTAGCACTCAAACACATGCTGGCTTCCTCTGAGCACAACAGATTTCACCTGCTTCCTTCCTTTTCCTTTCAGATCCCACAGCTGTGACGGATATGTTACTAACACACACAGCACATGTGCCACGTCCTTTTTTCTTCCTCTCTTCATTTCTACACCCCTGAAGTACTGAGAGGAAATTGAGCTGGCCAGAATTATCTGGATGTATGCAAGGCCCAGTCAAAGAGTCATGACACCAGACAGATTGACAATAGCTACTGCTCCTCCTATATATTAAATGCCACCACTTTCCCCAGAATTTTCCATAACATATACAGTGGGCACTAGTCTAAACTTGACTAAACAACTTACCCAGCTTCATACTACAGTGGATGGGTGGGTGGATTTCTGAATATGCTTGTGACTTCCCAGGAAGCCATAAGAAAGATGGATACAATTTTAGTGGAGCCCACTCCTTTCTCAAGTTTGAGGAAAAATCTGTTTCCATTTTCTCTGAAGCCTGCAATACAAGTAGTAAGGCACAACATTTTCATCATCGAAATCTAAAAAAAATATGACCATACACTAGCTCATTTCTCAGCATTCCAAATATAACTGGAAAGCAAAGTATTGTATAACACAAGGAGACAAGCACTGCCCTACAGTGATAGAGATTTTGTCTAGCTCCCATTTCAATGGCAACTGGCCAGCTGGAATTTGTTCATAAGTATTTATTTGATAGCAAGATGAGTTACACTGGTCCAGTTGCCTAGAAAATAAATAATTGGAAATTACAAGAGGAAATAACTTATTAAAGCCATCTGTTTCCTCCACCAGGCATCATACAGGTATAATCCACTCTATCCTTAGACAGAGTTGATTTGACAAGGTTGTCTGAGATAGCAGAGAGCTGAAGTAGAATCCTTCCCAGTGGAAGTGAACAGTGGAAGTGTCAACTCTTCTAAAACTGGGAGTAACAAATAAGACAATTGGGTTCTCAGCAGTACATAATAGTAGATCTTTACCAAGATCAGTTTCTCACAACTGTACTATTAATGAGATCACCTCTCTCCAATGGCCTAAAATAAATTTAATAATCAGAAAACTGTATGATCCTAAAGTAATTCTGGTTGTGGCAAAGGAAAGTCATGTAAAAATATTCCTAAAACCAAACAAGTAATGAAATGGAAAAGAGACCTGAGAAGACACTAGAATGGGCTGAAAGTAACCCGACCCTGGCACCAGATATCAAAGTCTTTTCTTGGCATCAGACATCATTCAGGAAAGTTGTGGCTAACAGAGACAGACAGTAGAAGTTGCATTTATTGGAAATGTTCTCTAAATTTCAGGTTTTATAGATTCTAAGTTAATCCCAGTCCATTTTTAGGAATTGCTTTACTTTTCATTGTCCTGCAGGAAAAACACTTGATCCTACACATTTTCATTCCTAACCACTAGATGTCACTCAACCCATTTCTGTCTCATGCCCACCACCATGGTAATTTACTCCCGAGGGAAATAAAACATTAAAAAAAACAAAAAAAAACCCAAAAAAACCCCAAAGAATCACTACGGAGAAATACAGAACATGTCACATAGGGCATAAAGTTTTCTCAAACACAGCTTCTTTGTAAGCCTGAAGTAGCTTTCAAATATGCATAGGTCAAGGTGTTTTGAAGCTAAGACAAATTCAGCATTACTTTCAGCTGGAGAGACTAAAAAGTTCAACTCCATAGTTACAGGCACAGACTTATTAACTGTTCAATTTATTTCCAATTCAAACAGCAACAAAGTGAACAACTTGGGTGGAAAGAATCACATCTTAAACCTCTGCAAAGTCGACTATATTCCCAAAGTATGAGCCTTGATCCCTGCAGTATATTCCTAATCATAGAATCTTAAAATGTTTTGAGTTGGAAGGGACATTAGAGATCATCCAGTTCCAGCCTCCTGCCATGGGCAGGGACACCTTCCACTAGAACAGGCTGCTCAGAGCTCCTTCCAGCCTGGCCTTCCTTGAACACTCCTGTGAATGGGGCAGCCACAACTGCTCTGCTCCAGTGCCTCACCACTTTCATAATAAAGAATTTCTTCCTAATATCTAAACCTACCTTCTTCTTTCTGTTTGAAGCCATTCCTCCTTGTCCTGTAACTACATGACCATGTCAAAAGTCCCTCTTCAAGCTTCCTTATAGTCTTTAGGTACCAGAAGGCTGCTAGAAGTTCTCCCCAGAGCCTTCCTTTTCCCAGGCTAAGCAGCCCCAGCTCCCTCTGCCTGCTTTCATAGGAGAGGTGTTACAGCCCTCTGATTATCTTCATGGCCCTTCTTATGTTGGAACCCCAGAGCTGGATGCAGCACTCCTGGGGGAGTCTCACCATTCCACCAGAGCAGACCAGGGGGACAAAGTCACTATATATAGGTATATATCACATCTCTGTGATGCCAACAAGATTACAATCCCACAGGCACCTACATGTCTCTAATTCCTCTCCTTTATTCCCCACACTGCATGCAATTGCATAGATGCATTTCAGTTGGGCACCCCATCCCAGTGAAGCCAACTACCTGCCATCTCTGTCCACATACCTTTTAAGATATTCCCTTGGAAGAGGTACTTTTTTAGTTTACAGCCAGTTTAAAAAAAAATGAATTCAGCTCTTTGTACTGTATTTTAACTTTCATGAAACCCCAGCCTTACCTGCAAAACCTGCAATGATAAATTCTCTCCCCTGTATAAACAGATGTCACTGTGTGGCATCAAGAACATTCCATATGATGCCTAAAAATTGTAATGCAAAACTGAATGTGAAAGTGTAATTACTAGATTAGCAGGTTTCAGCAAACCAGGGAACATATGAGAAGACTGTGAAACAGTAACAGGGAAAGGGAAGGAGGGGAAATCAAGAACCAGGGGATTAACACTGACAGAAGCAATGTGACATTTGCTAGTAGTGATAGACCGTTTTTTTATTAAAATTTTTATTCATATTATTCTAATACATTCCTCAATGTTTTAGAATATTAACAAATTCCTATATTCTTTTCAGTTTATAATATAACAAAGCAGATCAGTATAGTTCTACTGATCTATGCATTTCTACTCTAACATCAATAAAGCATTTCCAACAGTGAAAATAAACTATTTCTTTAGCACAGCTAATCCTTTTGTACCCAGTCCTCTCCAGTCCCCCAAACCTACTACGCTATAGGAATTAACCTACTTTCAAAAAAATATTGAAGTCTTTCCACATGCCCGGAATTTTCATTCACTTATAATTTATGTAGCCTAGAAACCAAAATAAAGAAGGTTGGCTTGCAGCTTAGGAGAACACTCACATTATGCCCCTGGTCTGCCACTGTCTTCCTGCAGGATGGTGAACAAGTCATGCAGGACATGTTTACCATTCACAGCAGAGAACAATGCAGATTGCTCTGAGATGCAGATGCCCAAGACAGGAAACACACGGCAAAGCACTGCTGAACCTGTACGAACCAGTCACTACTGGTACATTAAGGCATCATTGCATGGAGGTGGTTGCCTGGCTCACGAGATCAGTGATCACACAGCCTGCTCAGGTGTCTCTTCAACAGTAAAAGCACTTGCTGGTTCTTTATGTCTTTTCTCCATTTGAAGAGTGAGAAGAGTAGCCCTTCCATGTTTTGCAAAGATGCTGTAAGCATACAAGCAAGAAAACTAAGGAAGTGCAGACAGAACTGAGTACCAGAGAGGAGGGTGTGCATGCAGAACCCATGCAGCACTTAAGGGTTACTTTCCTGCAATAATTTTATCTTAGGCATCAGGGGGAAAGGTTTTTTTTAAACCTATTCCGACTAAATTCTAAGGTTAGAACTGGAGACACTAAGGACCAGACTATGAAAAATTATCTGGATCAATTTGATTTAGAAAATGATAAAAAATGTCAGCACCAATTCCAGAACATACTGACAATCTGCAGCGTTAATGACAAGACAGACAGAAGTTCAAACTGCATGCACAAGACTTGGCACGAGGAATTAAGCCTAAGGCTACACGTAAGCTCCTGACCTGGGTATAGGAGTGGTGTCTTTTGCATGTACAACTGAATGCTCACTGTAACCCCTATAACAGAGGATCACATGCTAGACCTAGCTCAGCACACTTGTTTAGAGGTGAGGAACACTACATTTAGATTTCTAGTTCACACAAAGCATTGTTGGGATTTGAAAGCAGTTATTTCGAAAATAAAAAATACCCTGTCTGTTGGTGTATTCATTATTCTGTTTCCAGGTAAATATTTCAGAAGTGTCTGTTCTGTACCAGTATAGAACAGGAAAAATTTTTTATGGGATAGGAGCCTGTTTCCCCTCCAAGTCTAGAAAATAATATCAGATAGACAGAAAGGAAATTAAGAATTTTATTATAAAATTCTACCTTTATTCAAAAGCTCACTGGAGAAATTAATGGACTTTAAAACAGATACAATTTTTTGCAATTTGTGTTCCACGGTCCCTTCAGAAAAAAAGCCCTTTTTCTTCCCAGCTAAGTACAGTGCTTTATACCTATTATATTTATAGCCATATTCCTTTCAGTGAAGTTTGATGTGAAATCATATCAGTCTGTGGTCTTTCCTGTAGACCCACTTTCCATTCTCAAAGCTGGGGTGGCTACAAGAGATCTGGAGAAGACTTTTTACAAGTTCATGTAGTAACAGAATAAGGGGAATGGTTTCAAACTGATAAGGGGTAGGTTTAGATCAGATATTAGGAAAAAAATCTTTACTGTGAGAGTGGTGAGGCACTGAAACAGATTGCCCAGAGATGGATGCCCCATCCCTGGAAATGCTCAAGACCAGGCTGGATGGGTCTCTGAACAACCTGATCTAGTGGAAGGCATCCCTGTCCACGGCAGAGGAGTTGAACTAAATGATCTTTAAGGTCCCTTCCTACCCAAACCATTCTATGATTCTATGACAAATACAGAAACCTCATAAATATTTGCTGACATTTTAAAGCTTGATTAGATCTAAGTCTCCTCTCTCTTGGGTGTGATCTATGCATGAAAAGAAATCAGAATGACTGCACCTGAAGAGAAAAATGTGGGGAGTCACTATATCGGTCTCTGTTGAAGTCATTCTTAGCTACCAACAAAACAGGGCTTTTCTGGCACTGCTGTGCCAGTTGATCTCCCAGACAGATGAAACATTTCATGTGCTGTTATCAAATAACAAAGCTTTGCTGTTATCTGCATAGGTAGTCCTGATTGGAGCCAAAACAAGAATAAATTTAGGGGCAAAGGTAGAATTCCTGCTCAGGGCAAAGGTCTACTGCAGCACATGCAAACGGCTCAGCATTGATCTCAGCACTGCTCATAAAGACATTCGTGTGAATAAGCAAAAGGGAGTACTGTGAGTTGGAGAAAACTAAACACGGGAAGAAAATACACAAATAAACAACATTTAAACAAGGAGCTCCAACCCTCTATCTTTAACTGAAAAGTTAAAAAAAAAAGGAAGGGGAAGGAAGGGGAAGGAAGGGGAAGGAAGGGGAAGGAAGGGGAAGGAAGGGGAAGGAAGGGGAAGGAAGGGGAAGGAAGGGGAAGGAAGGGGAAGGAAGGCGAAGGAAGGCGAAGGAAGGCGAAGGAAGGCGAAGGAAGGCGAAGGAAGGCGAAGGAAGGCGAAGGAAGGCGAAGGAAGGCGAAGGAAGGCGAAGGAAGGCGAAGGAAGGCGAAGGAAGGCGAAGGAAGGCGAAGGAAGGCGAAGGAAGGCGAAGGAAGGCGAAGGAAGGCGAAGGAAGGCGAAGGAAGGCGAAGGAAGGCGAAGGAAGGCGAAGGAAGGCGAAGGAAGGCGAAGGAAGGCGAAGGAAGGCGAAGGAAGGCGAAGGAAGGCGAAGGAAGGCGAAGGAAGGCGAAGGAAGGCGAAGGAAGGCAAAGGAAATCGTCTCAAAGCTAATTACTCTGGGAAACAAATTCAGAAATATGCTGATTTTTCACAGAGCTCTTTCAGGAACACAGAAAGGGGAATCCAGTCTGAAACAGTTAGAGAAAAAGGAAGTTAGTGCCATAGAGAACTGTAGATCACAAAAAGTTAGGCCAAATTGGTAAAGACAGCACAACCTCTACTCGTACTCTAAGCAACATTCGGTATTACATAGAATCATATAGTTTGGAAAAAAAAACCCTTAAGATCATTGTGATGTTCCAGTTCACACTAAGAAAATGTAACTAAACACTGGCCTAAAATTGCCATTAAGAAGAAATCCTTGCTAAGTTTTAATTGGTCTTATGCAAGATCACAAAGACTGTATGTGAAGACCAAAAAAAAACCACAAAGTGACACCATAAGAACAAATGATTGTCAGGAGTAATAAGAAATAGACATTTATAAAAATCTAGAAGACATTACAAAACAAGGGGAACACTATCGTTCACTATCTATGCGTTCCATGTTCGCAGAAACTAATTTCAGATCCTCTCTAATAGAGATAAAACTCCCACCTCACAGAAGAACAGAGGAAAGAATTTATTTCTCAAGTGGTCTGTATACCACTTGCATACTTTTATCAAATGTTTTATATCTTAAAAATAACTTATATATTCCAATAATTCATGCCTTTATTGCAATCCTTTATCAATGTTATTTATTTTTTCACTAACAGCAAAACTTAACTGTCTTAACAAAGTTTCACCCATTTAAACCATTCTCAGATGAGATACACACAGAGCATTTGCACAGTCTTCCTCTACAGAGCACAGGTAAATGAACAATTTATGTTGTTATTAAGCAGAAATTGCATGCTTTCTGGCCCCTCATCATCCTAGCCAGTGTGCTGCCAGCAATGAAAGGCAGTGTTTAATGTGCATTACACACCCTGCACTGTAGGCAGCAGCACCCCATGGCACGGCAGCACAAGCTGTGCAGAAGGGGAAGTAAAGTCTGTGTCCTTTGCTGTCACCTCAGTTGTGTCCAGTTCCCACTGCAGGGACTGGCTCACTTGGCATGGCTCTGCTCTATCCTTTTTCAGCTATGCAAAGCTAAGTGCCAAGGTACTACCTTAAAATGCAGATCCCCTGCTACAGACCAATTATCTGAGCGATGGTCAGAAGGGAGGGATGATGCCTAATAATTATCCAATAGAAACTGAAACAAAAATCCCTTGATAAGCTTATTTTGAGATCTGCTGATACTTACCAGCTACACTTCCTCTGGCTGAGATGTGAGAATATATTTTAAGACATGAAACATACAAGAATTGTATTTCACTTCTACTACGACTATTTTTACTTTTAGGAAATAATAGTTATTAAGGTGCCAAAATCTCTGGCTGCAAGTCAGGGTTATTAGCATTTCCCTCTAACAGGTAGAAAAGCTGAGGTACAGAAGGTAATATGATTTACCAGCCCTGAATTAGTGCTGGAGCTCAGAATCAAACCAAGCATCCTTGCCTCTGTAGACAGCAGTGCCTAACTTCAGCCAGGGGAGGCAATACAGCTCTAAAAGAAGCATTTAAAGCCTTTGCACCCCGTCCTTTCTGCTGTGCTGTTACTGGAAATATACCTGCCCCTGAAGCAAAATGCCGATGATGTCCCCCAAGAGGCTGGTGCTATTGCATGACTGGGACATTCCCAGCCCCGTGTCTCTAGAGGGACTGAGGACCACTAGGGCACAAGGGACTGAGGACACGAGGTTATGAACTGCTCTTGCAAAATGTTTCCATTCAGGGGCTGTAGAGCGATTCCTGTCACAAGCTTTGCTGTCTCTTTAGATATAAGGAGTCAATTTCAACCAACCATCAATTGCTCAAAAGTAAAACCCAAAGGCAATAAAAAAAATAAAGACCTTACAGAGAGAATACATCTGCAATGCTTAAGGTCTCCATTCAAAAGAAATCCTTATTCAGTGGCTTACATGTTTAAATATTACAGAAGTTAATGTAGGCTGTATGAAGTGATGCTGGTGATTTGTTTGGAAGGCAGAAGCAGGGAAACACATTTAGCCTAATTTTCTCAAAAAAAAAAAAAATCAACCTTTCAGTATTTTAGGCAATGTCGAGTTCAACAAAAAACTGGGTTCAAATATTTTGCCTTCAGAAATGATCTCATGTGAGCAACAGCCTACGCAGCACTACAGAAGAAGTGGAATTTCTCTCTGAAATCCTCTAGCCAGTTCTGTAAATGCTATAACCTGTACTCAGGGCGCATCAAATTCCATGGCAACCAGCATGAATTTCCCCACACTGATGCTGAACCGCAGCCTTTTGTTTGGAGTGCTAAATGCAAGTATTTTGTGATGCCCTTCAGAGAGTTCCTCAGCAGCTGACCCAGTAATCTGTACACATTTCTTGTACTTGGTGCTTAAATTACAGAATGCTTTTATGTTAGAGCTTTCAACATGGATTAATACCACAGGGTGGTGAGAAAACACAGCCTGTAGTCCTGTCTAGGGTGAGACACAGCCCGGCTCATATAGAAGAGGACACAACCATTGCAGCAGGTACACACTGGAGAATAGGCTCACAGGTCTCCTGCAGCGTGTGGAGAACCTCCCATGAGAGTTCACACTTCTCTCACAAGAGAGCTGAAACAAAACCAGACAATGAAGCAGAGCAAAACACTCGGTCTTCCACTTGTGGTGCATCTCCAGACCTCAGGTACGGTGTATTTTGCTTCTTCCCAGGCAGAAGAGCCTTGGTGGGCCCCTCCCTTCAGGGGGACTGGCTATATGTAGCATACCCCTAGATAAGCGGCGCGGTTCCAATAAAAGCCCATCCTTCACTATTGCTTTGTGCTACAGGAGCATCCGAAAACGCTCTCCACCCCCCACTGCTTCCTACCTGGAAAGCTCATCCCAGCTCTTCCGTTCCTCAAAGCTATGTCAACACGGACACCTGCCCCTGGCTCTCGGCACTGCTCTATCGCCTGCGGGGCCGCCCTGAGCCCGGCCAGCCGCCCTGAGCCGGGCCAGCCGCCCAGCCCGGCCCCCACGCCCCCGCAGCCGGAGCGCAGACCCCGGCGGGCAGCGCCGCCGCCGCTGCCCCTCACGGCGACCCTTCAGCGGCCGCTCCCAGCACCCCCGAACCCGCTCCCGCCCTCCAGCCCCGCCCCTTATCGCCCGGCCGCAGCCGCCTCCCTTATCGCCCTGATCTGTCTTATCACCCGCGGGCAGGGACAGCGCCGACTCGCCCGGCCGCGCCCCGCCAGCGGCAGCGCGGCTCCGGCACGGCGGTGGGCGCGCACTGAGACCGAGCCCAGGGCGGAGCAGGGCGGAGGGGCGCGGTGCCCGGCCCCGCCCCGCCCCGCGCGGGGCTTTGTTCCCCCGCATGCAGCCCCCGCCCGGAGGCGGCCGTGCCCGCCCGCCCCGCGGAGCGCCCGGGAGGCGGTGCGGCGGGGGCGCCCCGCGGCAGGCCCGCCCCGCGCGGTGCCCGCCGTCACTGCCGCGGGCGCTCGGGCCGCCGGCGCCTCCCCCGCCGCGGCGGCGGCCTGATGCGGCACCCAGCACCGCCCCGCCCGGCTTTTTCTCCCGTTCTCGCGGCGAGCCCTCCGCTCTGATATCTCCGGGGTCGCGGCGGGGGCGGTGACGCCCCGTGCCCGGAGCGCCGGCCATGCGGGGCGCGGCCCCCTGCGGCCCGGCGGCGGGCGGCAGGCGCTGAGTGCGGGCGCGGCGATGCCGATACCAGGGGGCGACGGGGCCGCGGCGGCCAGGCAGCCCCCGTCCGGCGAGGCGGCGGCACCGCGGGATGAGGAGCAGCAAGAGGAGGAGGGCGAGGAGGATCTTCGCGACGGCGGCGTCCCCTTCTTCGTCAACCGTGGCGGGCTGCCCGTGGATGAGCCCACCTGGGAACGGATGTGGCGGCATGTGGGCAGGATCCATCCCGAGGGAGACCGGGTGGCGCAGAGGATCCGGGGCGCCGCCGACCTGCCCAAGGTGAGACCCCCCCCCCAGCCCGCCCCGCGGCTGAAGCTGCGCGGGGTCCCAGCGGAAGCGCCCGGAGCGGACCGTCCCCCACATGGCGGACGAAGGGAAGGGGCATCCCGCTGTGAGGAGGCGCCCGCCTGTCCCATTAGGAGGCCGGTCTCCCCGGCTCGGGAGCGATCCCTCGGAGAAACGGGCCCCGGGAGTGCTCTTGCTGGAAGCACAGCCACACTCTAACCCGGAGTGCGAGAGGGCATCTGCGGGGCTCTACCCTGCCTGGTGCGCCAGCAGCACCCTCTTCTTCTGCGGCCTTACTGGAAAACGGACTTGAGGTAGCTAATGTGAGCAGCCTGGAGGGCGGAGGGTGGAGAATGGGCAGTGGCTAAAGAGAAAGATTGGATAAATGATAAAAAGATGAGAGTTAAATTTAGAAGAGCCCAAATACTTGAGATGGGGGATTGAGACAGGCGGAGGTGAGATTTTGAACCTGAAGAAATTTGATTTGGGTACAATGTCCCACACCAAAAGGCATTCTGGAACAGAACTGTGTCTGTCAAAAAATACTTTTTATGCCAAGTGTTTTAAGACGAGTTAGCAAATGCTTGCAGAGCTTATTGCTGGTGTAGGGTCAGGTGTGATTTCCAAGCTCATTCCTGGTCTTGCTGCAGAGAACTCCATGAAAAGAGGAGCCACTGACCATTTCACTGAGCCTTGTACCATACTGAAACATTTCAATGTGAATTCTTGTGATTGTTGCTATCTGTGTTGCATCTCAGCTGGAGAAAAATCTCTCCCTTTTATTGGCATACTGTGAACAAAAGACAGTGTAAACATTTGGTGTGTCACTCCACTAGTAGGATGGGAATACTCTCCTATCACTCTAATAGGGGAAATTCAGATACAAAAAGGTGAAGCTTTTTCATCTCAGGCTTTTTTATAGCAAGGACTTATCTCCTTGGGAAGGTAATTTGAAGTATGGAAGAACATGATATTATATACTACACAGACAATCCATACTGCTTTTCATGAGGAATTCTGGAGAAGCATGTGATGCAACATCCTTTGTGCAGTAGAGAGTCAGAGGCATCAGTGGCAGCAGCTGGAACAAATCCCGAGTCCTGATTACAGTCCCCATTCTAACTCCATTAGACTTTTCCTTCCTTTTCAGATTTCCTTCCTTTCCTCTTTGTCCTGAGCCTAGGTGAAGGCTGAAAATGTTTCAGATCAGGCAGAACACACACTACCTAATTTCCTAACCATAACGACTGATTTGGTAAAAAAAGGTGAGGGAAATGGAAGGAAGAAGCTGACAAACAAGACTCCAGTGAATGATGGGTGGGGAAATAACAGTGTTCAGTCCCTTGTTTTGGTCCTATGTGAAGAAGTTCCACTGTTCTCACTTTAGAGTCTTTAGGTTACAGTTAGGGGACACAAGTGGTCAGAGGTCTTGCAATTGGACTGTTTGGTTTTGGAGGTTGTTGGGTTTCAGTTGTTGAGGGTTTTTTTTTGCATCTGCTAGCACCCCTGGGAAATAGATCTGCAAACTGTATTCAGCACTCTGCCATCTGAGATGCCATTCCCAAGCTCACTCAGCATATAGCTGGGAGGATACTGGAATTCAGGAAACCACAAGGATGAATGAGCTCTGTTTCCTTAGCTCCTTCTCCTCTGTAGGGATGTGTTTTTTTCTTTGAGGGCTGCTTATCGGTACTTGTCTCCGTGCCATCAAGTTTCTTTGAAAGGCTCATGCAACAGATGAGAATCGGGGCAGTAAGTGTACTCTGCAAAGCTAGCTCCTTTGAAAAGCCAGGTTCTCTCCATGCGCTGGAGGGTAAATAGTCCTTTTGAGGTGTTGGGAATGGGACAGTGACTTACCTACTCCAAAATTTTGGCCATGGATCGTAGCCAGCATTGGGTGTTGGGGGAAATAGCTCTCAAAAAAGCTGTAAATAAACTAAAATACTATAAAATGATGACTGGAGGACTCTGTGACTAGACACATGTTTACAGATCAGCTTCAGAGGTTGTGTCTCTCACTGGAGTCTGAGAGCTCAGAGAGCTCCTCTAGCCTCTATTTCCTTCCAGTAGACTTGGGGTGAGTGGGCATGAAGTGAGCAGGCCTTAGAGTGCTGCTCTCCTGTAGGTTACGTTCTTTCCAGCAACAGGGTGGGGTATTGCCTTGCTTCAAGCTGCTGGAATGATCAAATGGGTCCGAGCTGGAAGTATGAAGTGATGTGCGCTTGGCTCATAAAGAAATCATGGATTTTATATGAGATGGTTATGAGAGCAAAGACAGGAAGAGTTGCATCTAATGGATTCAGAACAAGAGAGCCAGAAAAAATAATCTGTTCTTTTCAGTCAGGCTCTCAACCAAGGCTGATACTGCTCCTGTGTTACTTGCAGAAGGAAGAGTAGGGAGGAGCTTGGATACATAGAAGTACCATAAAAGAAACTGTTGCTAAACTAGGCCGGCCAGAAGAGCACCTCTGTAATACCGATAAGGGTGGAGCTTTGCCTGTGCCTCGCTCCCATCTGCCTTTCTCACATACAGCATGGCCCACTTGTATATGAAAATCTTGGTTGTTCTCAGGATCCCCTTTCTAAAAGCAGAATCCCAATCCCATGTATATAGACAGCCTGCCAGGGTGCATGAATCTAGCAGTGGGGTGATGGAGCTACTCCCCACAAGTGATGAGGAATCAAGGGTGTGTTCATTTGGTCTGCTAAGCCTGGCAGAGGTTATGTTCTTTGGGAAATCTGGGCTCTCTTCAGCTTTCATAATAGCTAAAGAGAAGTTAAAATAGGTCTGATTTCCTATCTTTTCTGTTATAAATAAATTCTTCTCTGCTTTCCGAAGGACTATGAAAACTAACTAATATTTTTAGCTCTTTGGAGATATGCCTTGGATGATGCTGGGGAAGAAAAAAAATATAAGGATCTCTTGTCCTGTCAGTGTGGAATCGAGGCATGGAGACTTTATTCCTCTACTTCTGCTTCTATTGTCCTATTAAAATGCTATAGACCTGATGCAAAAAAGAAACTGTAGCCCAGTCTGGGCTGCAGGCCCAGATCTGAGAGAGAGCACAGTGTACTTTCATCAGTTTAATTACTTGAGGTGCAGGAGGCTCTTCCACATTAACTAGTCCCCTGCTGAACTGATTGCCATTATGCTGTCTCAGTGTTGCACAGTCCTTTGAGGAAAAGGAGATCGGAGCTACTAGTAACGGGAGGAGGAACTACCCAGAATCATTAGTCTCTGCTGTCAACATGCACTTAATTTGTCTGTCTCCACTGAAAAGCATTAAATTCTCCATGCTGAAGAAAAAAACCAAAATTAAATAGTCAGCCTGCCCTGATTGTTACCTCTTTCGTTGTTTCTGCCTGGAAATTATTTCCTATGACTCAGTGTGTCAGCTCACAGCATCCAAACTGACTCAGCTTATGCACTACCAGAGATGGCTCTATTTCTGTGCCACTCTCTGGAGCCTTCCCTGCTCCTGCTGCAGCTGAACAAGCGCAGTTTCACATCTACTCCCACCGTGCCTGTGCTGCCCCCTGCAAGTGAGGCAGCCGGTGCCTCTGTGTGATACAAAAGGCAGCGCCAGCCTACCTCAAGGTTGTGGGGGAGCACAAGCAGAGTGCAACCATGTGGCAAACCAGGATAGGGAACTGATCTGGCTGAAAACTACCCATGCTTGCTGGCTCAGCTTTCAGCTGCTCCAGATGCCTGACTTGTTCACCAGTCACTTGTACCAACACAGGAGAGAAGAGGGAAGTATATGGAAATGGATGGCCACAGAAATACATGTGAAGGGTGCACTAAGCAGTACCACTGGCTATAAAACCACGTCCAGCAGAGGCAGTTGTGCACAGCAGAGTGGAAGGCTCAGAAGAAGAACTGGTTCTGACTCACTCCTTCATAGCTATGGATAGGCCAGCTCTGGGGGAAGTTTGAGGAGGAACTGAAATATTAAAAGTCGAACAGCTGAGAAAAGATGCAGTGTGATATTAGCAAGGTGCATATAAGGCATGAGCTATCTTTCAGAGAGAAAATATTGCGCTGTTTCTCCAAGCCTATCAGTCATCCCAGACTTGTGTCTTCTCCTTTTTATTTGTCCTGTGGACAGGTCCCTTCTCTTTCCTTAGACACATTTTCTCAGCTGCTGACAAGACTAAGGTTATCCCCTGCAGAGCAAACGGTGAAAATGGTGAGGAAAATCTGACTTGACCCATAAGGCTGAGGCCTCAGAATGGGACAGCAATCTGAAAGGTGAACATCCAGAAGTCATTCTCTATAATTCAAAACACCAGACACTGCAGAGCAAGGAGTCATGCTGCCAAGCCTGTGTCCTAGTCAGTGCCACCTCATCTGAAATGCCAGGAAGCAGTTAAGGACCTTTCTACCCTTACTTGCAGGACTGTTCCACCCTCTGGTGATATTGGAAAACTCATTGTCCATTTTTGCCTCTTTCTTTTAGTTTTCTGCCTTTAGTTTCAATACTCAAATGAGGTCACACTCCCTCAGATGATCACTTTCCTGTCTTGTATCTTGCCTTGTCAGTTAATTCTAT